ATTATTCATCACTAGATCACTGCCCAAAGTATTTCACATGTTATTTGAAACATTATAGGAAATTTCAAAATTTTCCTTTTAACTTTTCTGTTGGAAATGTAAACTTGGTATTCATGTGCTGAAATATGTTAACCTCACAATTCTGATCCAACAATGGCTACTACAAATGAGGTAATTTTATCATTGACAAAAATGAAGAAAATGTTCCTTCTTGTTCCCTGGAGGGTTGCTTGCTTGTGACCCACTACAGGTAAGTTGCCCAGAACAAAGTAATATTAAGTATGCTAAAGATTTGTCTGCTAACCTTGGACATTATTGCTTCTGAAGGATATTTATGAGCAAACTCTGTATATATTTAAGATATTTTTCCCCCAAGTACAGCTACTGTTTACCAAGCAGGTGTTATCAGTACTACTGCATCTCCATGATGTCCTAGTAGAATGTGAAGTTAGTTCTCATTTCTAATGTAATCATCCCTTTCATAGAGAGAAACGATAATCAGTGTCTTAGTGAATTGCAAAAGGAAGATATTACAATTTTCATTAAAACGGAGTAGTTATATTTTAATGAAATAATGGATCTTGCTTTTTCTTTTTAAATATGCCTTTTGGGCAAAAGATTTATTTTCATCAGTAAGTTTCATTATGTTTGTAGATGTTAAAAATACTGCATTAACCAAATAGCTGGATTCCCAGAACAAGAAACTATCTTATTCACTCTGTGGCAGAAATTTAGTAGTTTACATACATTACATTCAGTGTTTGCTTTGTCTCTACATCTGTGCACAGAGTACATATGCGTAGACATCTTTTGAATAGACTTGAAGAGTGTAAACTCAGACTGTGGGCTGGCTCAATGCTGAACACTGGCTGATCCAATTGAATGAATATGTTACATAATCAAGAAAACTGATTGGAAATCATGTCAGCATGGTGCTATAGCTCTGACTTTCTTTACCAAAGTTTAATTGGTAATTTAGTAAGTCAATGCTGTCCTGTTATAGCTTGTGTTAGATTTCAGTATTGCTTTACACTGTCCATGTCAAAATGGTCTTAACTTGTCTATTTTCTTAAAATAAAAGGAAGAAATGCACAGATCTTTCTTTTACTCTGTACTTCACTGTATATCTGATGAATTCAAATTTTACATCACTTTCCAGTTTTGCATATTTTTTTCCTGTTGTAATCTCCTTAGATGACCCACCACTAGATAGGATATGATTTAGCGCTTCTATTTAATGATTACCTATCTACGCAAAAGATACTAAGTGGTTCTAAATTAAAAGTGAGAAAATTACACCTGCCAGGTGTACCCCAAATACATCACTCTGCCTCAAATAGTCTAAGACCAAGTTCTGCTTTTCACAGTATTTTCACAGCACAAATATCTGTCTGCTCTCCCTTTCTAACATTAGTTTTCATTCTACTAGACAATTTTATTCTTTCTTTTACATGATTTTTTTCTGTTGTGTAGTGAGATTAACTTGGGCTGTCTTTTTATCATTAATAAGGCACAGAATAGTCATTTTTAAGTAGGCATCCTTCCTTCTCAAAAGTATATATTTAAAGCATGATATACTCTCAGCCAATATCAGTTCGTATCCATTGTTTATCGTTACTACTGTGTCATTATTATAGGATTATCCTGATTTCTATTCTGTGTTGTATCTCTCATCAAGCCTTAGGGTCAGCATAAGCTACCCATTAATCATGTTCTTACAAGAACCTAATAAATCCTCTTTAATTTAAATCTGGTTCACTTTCACTTGTTTTGTAAAATGGGAGATAGCTAATTACACATGCGTAATGTTGAAATCTTTTGCAACTCTTTATTAACGTAAACTTATTTGAAGTCATAGTGCATTTGAGATCTCCAACAGAGACATTATGTAAATACGAATGGGGACAAATGAGGCATATGGCACCAGTACTTGATTTTTTTAGCAATTTTCCTCTAATTCCACGGTTATACAAATATTGTTCTCCAGTTAGTTGTCTTTGCTTTAAGGGCTATTTCAAACTTCCCTGAATAAAATATGCCTACATTTACAGTTCTTTTCTAACACAGAGAGGTGTGTGCACATATGCATTATGATTCTTGTCCTACTTTCCCCAACGCCTCTATTCAAAGTTGCAGCATTATCTTCTGTGTTTTCCTCCCATTTGTCTATGTAGATAATAATGCAAATATGACTCGAGAGCAGCCCTGAGGAAAACAAAACAATAGCTTAACACAAGTTTGTTTTTCTAAGTGCAGAGGGAAACAAGTAATTGGAATAAGGGTGTAAGATAAGGACAGGGAGTAAACGTAATTCTATCCAGTGTCCCCCTTGGCAAAGGAGGGAGACATTTGACAGTCTTGTATCTGCCCTACTTATTGGTGCAAGCCTATGAGACTACAATTCTCATATTTTCCTAACATTCCATACCTAATTCATAGATGTGGTTAGACCTCTTTCTTTGTCCTTTCCCCATCCTGTCTTTGAACCACAGTCTTTTGGGAAACCTAAATATGAAATATCTGGGAGCAAATCCTATAAAATTCTATGAAGTACTCTTGTTTTAGTGCGAGTCTGATAACTCTCTACTGAAATACAGAAAAAAACCCCCAAAACCAAACCCTCAACCTACCCCCCCCCCAAAATAAAAGGCACCAAAACTAAAACCAAACCCAAACAACAACAACAAAACCAACCACTGCAAAAAAACCCCACAGCAACATAGGCCAAAATGTAAAATTTATGTTTATAGGGGTTTCATTATAAACAAAGAAAATTTGTGAGGATATAGCAATTTGTGGTAGTCCATGACTGCATCACAAAAGACAATCCAAAATTTTCTACATATACTAAAATTCAACGAACTTGCCTATGGTAAAGTATTTGCAAAAGACCATATTAAATCAATTCTGATATTTCCTATCTCAAAAGAGCATATACCTAACTGCAGTAATGTTAATATTCACTTACAAAGCAGAAAAAAGATTTAGTGTAGAAAAAAATTATTTTTGTTTATGAATGGTTAACTAGGTATTGCTGACAGTAGCAAGAACTCACAGGAACATAAGCTTCATAATAGTGCTACGAATGTCAAGTCTGACATCTATATTAATAGATAATATGCAATGAGTAGAAAGAATTAAAAAAAGTACAGTTTTTGAGTTTGTTATATGTAAAATGTGTCACTTTTATATTTCACAACTTTTAACTATTACAGCAGTTGTAAATATTCTTTGAGTAGCAGGAAGACTGGTTAAAATAATAATAATTCCATAATGCTGGATTTTACACTAAGTTCAGTCTCTTAAACATTATATTTACTTTCTTTAACAAAAATCTAAGAAAAACAAGGAGACAGAACCAAGGACATAAAAAATATTGATATTAAAAAATCCTACCAAAGCCCCACATACTTGGAAAAAAGACCCAGGAAAAATATCCTGAAGAAAATTATGAGGGGAAAAAGGACATTGCCTAAGGAAATGAGAGAGGAGAGATCTTGAAATGTACCCAAGGAAAGCAAGCTACAGACATGGAGTGTTATGCACCAAGACAGTGGAAAGTGTCTCTCCACGGGACTAATGTGGATTAGCGCAATGAACTGTGAGGGGGCTCACAGCTCTCCCAGTGACCCATCATTGCAACCATGAGGTTTAGTACTGTGGAGAATGCAGTGCTATCTTTTGTTCTGATTTACAGGACAGGACAAGATAGTGTGGAGAAAACAGGGAGGAGGATGTGAATTATGATTTCCCAAGGATTTTTCTTTCAATATGCTCAAACAACAAATTAAATCCTTCCATGATCTTGGTGACCTTCAGACTGTTTTTTTGTGTTTGTTTGTTTGTTTTCATTTTCTGACCTTTCTTTTATAAAAAACCTTTCAAGATAGCAAGAGAGCAAGTTTCTGTCTGTGGAGGAAAGTTGAAGTACTTATTTCAGGAACACACTGGTTCTTGTCAGAAAAGTGCATTTAAGTGCTATCACTGCATCCACTTCCTCTCTTTCACTTACTATGAGATTAGATTTTGTGCGATTAGGGTTCATTCATACCTTTCCTGCAGGCTGTCAGCATAAGAATTAAAAGCAGATTTCAGAAGTGATCTAGGCAAATAGATCCATTTCCAAAAGAGATTTAGGAATATAAATGCTAGTGACTTTCTTTAACAAATGTTTTCAGATGATAAATGTTCGTTTAAAAACTTTTTGAGAATTCTGAGTTTAGTGCTGTAAATGAGGATATTTTTGCTTTCTCCTTTCCTATCATCCTATGGCAATTTCACGACTCTATGAGTAATTTATTAATTTGTGTTAATTTCATAAAAATTGCCACAATGTGTTGCAGGTTAGCCAAAGACTGACAAGGACTCTGACATATATCACCTATTCCCAGTGTAAGAAACTTCAAAGTAAACTAAAGAAACCACTGGATTTAACAACTATTCTCTGAATAATGAAAAGCAAGGATATAAATAGGAACAAAAGCTCTGAGGATTTATTTGGTTTAAAGAAAAAATTAATAAGAGACATTGCCAAAAGGAGATAGAAAAAGTTAAATATTCTATAGAAGAAACCATTAATAGAAATGTCTTTGAATACTGAAAGCTAGTTGCTTAATTTCTGAAGACTACAGTAAAATGGTTAAAAAAATCAAGACATATGAACATTTTAGTTTTTTATAATAAAGATTCAATTTTGAAATTATTTGCTTCGTATTTAAACTATCAGAAGTCATGTGAAAGCTGTTTCAGGTTACACTATGACACTGTGCTATTAATAGATATTTTAAAGAAATGAACAGAGTATTCATCAGAATATTTTATGGGTTCTTTCTATTTCCTGCAGTTAACAACTGTGTGTTGAATTTCTGATGGGAGAGTACCTTTCCTCCTGTCATGGGTTAAGATGGGCCCCCCCTGAGAGTCGGGGGCTCAGAGGTGATCGGGGGCCAGGGCAGTGTTCCCTGGAGGGCCAATCACCACTTGTTTGCTTTTGCTTGCCCTGCCAAAGTTTGACTGGGGGCAGCCGAAAACTGACTTGAAGGACAAGTATGTTGATAAGCTACACTACAGCAGCCTACAGAACCGAGGTATGAGACCGAGAGGGAGAGATCACACAGCAGAAATGACAGAGAACCAAGGAGAAAGGACTCAGAGCTACCTTCTTGGACTTCGTGAGGAAGGAAGGACTTCCACAAACAGCTGAAGGTTGGTAGGGAGTGTTCATGGGCCCCGAACACTCCCATGAGATATTGGTTACTTACCCGCCTGAAAAGGCTTTTTCTGGACTAAAGTTAAAAGGAGAAACTTCGAAGGGATTGATAGAAGTGTAATAATATATATATATATATAACTGCTTTTAGTTTGTACAGTATATTTATTTGTGTAAATAAATGTAAATACTTCCCCCTTCCCCTATAGAAGCCTCTGGCTTGAAAGTTTTCTCTTTGGTGTTGGGATAAATTGTGGGAAGGGGTGGGGAAGCCTGGAAATTGGATTTTGGATTTCTAATGTGGCTCAAACTGCCACACCTCCCTTATATAATAAAGCATGAACAGAATCGTCCTTACCCGAGATAAACATGAGTAATATTGTGGGTTTAATGTGGGTCCAGTGTGACAAGCCCACTGAGATATCAAGCAAAGAAAGAAGCGATAGAGAAGAAATACTTAGCATTTAGAATTTTAACATTCCCTTAATGGACATTATTTTATACCTTCAGTTTGCATAGAATTCCACACAACGTATTTTTATTCTTAATGCAGCTGAAATACTGAAGGAGAATAAATTTCCAGTCATGTGTCTACTATATGTAGCATCTCATTTTGTATTCCAGTACCTTAGAAGGATACTGGAAGTTTATATTTTATAGATTCATGAAGAGAATCTGGGGAATGGGAAGGCTGGTTATCTTTTTGTTTAATTTTATTTTAATCGAGAACACAGAAACATGAAAAGAAAACTTTCTGGTTTATCAGAAGGAAAAAGAGTTTTTCACTTGAAAATATTAATTATATATATAAAAAAGGAAAAATATTCCCATTCTAGAACCTGTACCTAGATATGGAAATATCGTATGACTGGAAGAATTTACAATAAAGAATTTGTTTAAAAAAACTAATAAGCCCCCCACCTAGCCTCAATTGTTTAGTCATAGTTCATGATAACAATTAAATGTTAAAATCTCTAAAATACATTGCTACTTTGCCCTATGTGGTAAAATGCTCCCATTAAAGTTTTCTGAGAAATTTACACGTACAAATATATGAAGTTCTTATATACTGATCTATTGCAATAATGTGCAAAGCTTCAGCCTACAAACTATGATCCTTGCTGGTAGATGCTTTCCAAGCACAAAAGGAAGACACTAATTTCTATTAACTCATTTATGCTGATATATTTATTTCAATATTTTCGTTGTTAAAGGTAAGAAATTAAAATGAAATAAGCAGATTTGGACCAGGCCACAAAAACAAAATTTAATGAAAATTCAATTTTCTGTGTGACTTTGTGTTTTGCCTTGGTCCGCATGGCAGGTTTAGGGGAAGGTTGTTTGATTCATTCTGGGCAGTGAGCAGAAGAACCAGCAAAATTCTCAGGACCTTCAATAACATAACTTCTACTTGCAAACTTTAGAATATTAAGGTAGAATAAGGGACCTGGCAAATTTTAAAACAACATCAAAAGTAAGGCACTTCAAAAACTTTAACTTACTAAACTTTTAACTTATCCACTTTTAACTTATCCAGACATAACAGAGCACTTACTAAGGCACTGACTGAATTTTTTTAATCTTGCTTATAGTATATTCCAAGAAGAAGTTAGAAGAAAGAATGAGATAAAGAGAAAAGATAAAAGTAGAAAGATAGATCCAGCAGCAAGACTTCACTGTTTCAATTTAGATATCTGAAGGTGGTCAAAGTGATGGTCGCAGTCTTGATCTATTGGTGGTGGGGGGAAGTTTGTGAAACATACAGTTCAATGGGCTAAAATATACTCAGACTAGGTGGTAACACCCAGATATCTCCACTTGTTGAGGGGTAGTTTTACACTGTCTGGTGTAACACTGTGGATCACATGCAGTCCTCTGGTGGAAGGTCTCTGAAATGCTTCTGGGGGCACTTTGGAGGTCTTTGATGACTTATGGTACTTTCTAAGATATGACAATGGCCTCTCAGGTCAATATTGCGATTGTGCAATATTTCTAATATTAAGGGATTAAACAAGTCTCTATCCAGTTAAATTTGTGTTCCTGGACAATAGCCATAACTAAGGTATGGAAAAGAGTAAGAATAAGGCAATCAAATACAATGTTTTCCACAGATATCTCTCATGTCTCTAGCAAAGTGCGTGTGTTGGACTTTCTAGGCCAGATGAGGGGTTTGTATGTTTAGAAAACTTCACAGGATTTCACTCTTCTCCTGCTCAGTTCAACCTTTATTTAAACCCATACCAGCAATCAGCATGTACCCTGATCAGTGTCTGGCTACAGAGGAGCAAGAAAACGACTTCCCATTGTGTAGATTCAGCTCCTCTTCCCTTCACCTGGTACATCATGATTTATGTTGCCCAAGGAGACAACAGTTTTTATTTTTTTCTGTTTGCTTCATTTACAGTTTTGTAGCCCTCTATTATAAATGTCCTTAGCTGTCTACCAGTTGCAATATCCTAGATTACTACAAAACCATTCCATAATTCTGAGCATCTTCAATTTTTTCTGATTATCTTCCTGTTCTATAAAGAAATTTTTGAAAGAAAACACAAGAGTTGCACTTAGTATTCAAAAGGCCAACAAAAATAAATAAAAACTGTCACAGTGAAGTCCTCTGTTGCGTTTCCAGTCTTTTCCTAATGATTCCGCCTATTTCACTTGCCCTTTTTTAATTATTATTTCCACTTGCTGAAACTTACATTTTCAAGGAAGAATTCATTATACTGCCAAGTTTTTTTGAGTGAAAATGGTAAAACAGAGGCAACATTTCCTACAGAAAATGCTTGGATTCTTTGGGAAGTCCATCACACTGTCTTTAATGGGCAATTTCATTTTCCAACAGTTTAATTTTTAAGATTCATTTATCCAGAAGAAATTAACATCATTGAAAAATGTTCTCATCTTATTGCTCACTTTCTTTTTTAGGCCAGTATAAATGGGTTGAGCAGAACATCTCCAAACCCATATCACTGCAGAATTCCACTGGTTAGACTTTTCCCTTCTGAGCACTTAAATTCAGTTCCCTGTCTTTAAAACAGTTATATTTCAAACATTTATCTTCTCTATATCGTGGCTACTTACTCTCCCCGGTAACCTTTAGTGAGGTAGGTTGTCACAGAACTTTTGGAAATTCAGGTGTATCAACTGAATTACCCTTAGGTATGCGTTATTCACCTTTTTAAGAACAGTTGAGTATGGTTGAAAGTAGAACTTCCTTGTACAGAAGCCATTCTGACTCTTCCTAAGGGCATTTCTGCAAGCATCTTTATTTATTCTGTGTCAGATGACAAGTGCCTTGGCAAGTTCAGAAATCAGAAGTTTCCAAAGAGACCTCCGGATTTTCTTGACTGCCCTTTCCAGTTCTCATAGACCAAGGTATTTCTAAGTAAAACTTTACAGAGTGATATGCAAAAGATAGTCTAGTATCATCTTAGTAAGGAAATCAAATAACTTTTGCTAGCATTTCATGTTAAAGTATTACTGATTAGAAGAATTATGAGTCCCTGACTCTTTTAAGCTGCAACTGGTATATAAAATTTAGTACTGCTCACGTGTGAGCAAGGGATTCCTTGTAGCTAGCCTCTGTGCACTATTATTATGAAGTATATTATTATTTGGGCATTTTTCCACTTTTTTTTTTAACATTACGAAGATGCTAGGGAGTGAGTTAAAACGTATTAGCTCCACAATATCAATCCAATATGCCTAACTATTGTTATGTTGTTACAAAGTCTTTGTCTAAATACTATATGTAAGGCTTAAAAGGAAAATGATGAGCTGTATTTCTACTCAACTCAGGAGTACCAGAAGTGATATAAGATGATCCTGTGCATTGATTTACTGAGTTAATAAGACATCAGAACTGTTTCTCATCCCATCATCCCCTTCTTTCCTTCAAATCAAATGACTCTCCCATGCCTTCCGTTTGGAGGAACAGTCCTAAGTCCAGCATGAAGCAGGGAAGATTAAATAAGTTACATATCTGCAAGTTTTACTGCTCTGGGCTTTAGACTTCTGGTAAGCTTCTTTTCATGTTCCTTCCTTCACTTACTGTGGGATACGTGATTGCTTAATTTATCACAAGCATAAATTATTTTTGTCCTACTCAAGGCATGTCCAGTTTAGAAAATATGTATTGCTTTCTTTTTTTTTTTTTCCCATGCAAAGTTGGAATTTCCACTTGATTTTTTTTATCCAAGTATTCTTTATTATGTCTGGATAGGAGGAGCGGAAATTATTCTACAGTGGCATAACAGAAATAACAATTTGAAGGCTAAGTGCTCTCCAACAGGAATTCATGAAAAATGAACCCAAGTTAAGTTTATACTATCATTTTCATGTATTGCTCATAGGTCTTAGTCATCAGCTTGTGAACATCCACAGAAAAAATATATGTGTAGAAAAAAGGAAAGTCATTATAGCTAAAGTCCAAGTGGCAGATATTCTTGTAATGAAATGAAAATTGAGAGACTTTACAGGATTTGAGAAATACTGAAAGTGAATATTTGAAGTTAAATTCCTTGCTTATTTAACTCCAAAGGATTATCTGCAGATAATTTATCTTCTAATGTACATAAGCACTTTCGGTAGGAATGGAACTAAACCACTGAACAAAATTACGAAACACTTTTTATACCTGAGTATAACGTTTGTACAAATTAGGGGTTAAATACCTGGGGTAATTTTCCATTTGGATTTGAAACGAAGATTTGAATTTATTTTAATAAATATATTCAGAAGGAATATTATAAAAAACATGCATAATTTTTAATGGAAGAAAAACAATATTAGGAAAAGAAGATCCTCAAAATTTCTAAGAACTGTCACACTTGTAAAAAAAAGAAAAATAAAACCAGTCTTGGTGAAAAGGCATTTAAATTCTTTATTTCCTGCTTACAACACTTTCCTGAGACAACACAGCATTTTCCAATATAGTTGACAGGAAGGGATGCTCCAGAGTAAGTAGTCAATACAGTTTGCTTAACTTAAAATATAC